CCGGAACACAGGGTACAAAATAACAGCCAGTGCAAACCCCACCAAAATCCCAATATCTCCTGTACCCGCACGTGCTACTGGGCCTGTATACCACACCTGCGCCATGCAAGGTACGATGATCCCGCAAGCACATATGAAGGCGAGGACTGCCGCAACTCCCGGAGGAAGCCCTCCCGGTTTGCACCATTGTGCGAGGTCGTATCGCTCCCAAGCGTTCTTGCGGAAGACGATGTGTTCGGCCATGACTATAGCAGCGAAGACGGTGCTCCAGTATCCTATGACGTTCATCACGTCTACGAACGTGCTGTAGAAGTGCGCCGCGCCGACGATCGCGACCGGGATGAGTCTGTGATGGACATGGCTCAGCAAGACGTATCGAAAGGGCGGCTTCAGTTGGGGTGGAGAGGGGGGGACTCACATAGCTGTGGAGACGAACGCGTATACAAAGCGGGGGACGCGAGCGAACCAGGCGTGGATGGTCATGAAGCTCGACTCGAAGGTGTACATCGTAGGTGCGCTTGCGCTCGGGATGAACAGCGCGATGAGCACTGTTAAGAACTTCCCGAACCCACCCGCCGGGGCGAGGACGGCGGCGACCAACCCGCCTACGCTGTTGCCGTTGTCGAACCCGGCGTCCCAAGAAGGGACTGCAGGAGCAGCGGCTGCGAAAGCTGCGCCGAGCATGTGACCGCAGAGCTGGATGAGTCGGAACGTCAACGAAATGGAATGATGAACACGGATATCGAGGACCGCTTACACTCGCTGTGAGGAATCCGGTATAGCTGTACAAGAATACTCTCATACTGGGACTCCCTTATGAGCATCTGGAGGAATACGAAGACTTGCAGTGCACGCACCTGGATGCATGCCTACTATGGTACACTCCATAATCGGATGTCATGATGCACCAACTGATGACAGTCGACGCGATTGTGGTCCCAAAAGACACGATCGCCGCCGCAGAAGCTGGTGGGTCGGGCGGAATGTGACTACCCAGATGTTGTCCTCCGACTGCAAGCATGACGATGAAAGTGATCGCGCTCGGGATCCACGCGATCGTTTCGTACCTGTCGAGGTACAGATGAGTCGTCGTAGTCAGGAGAACTTCCCTGGACTCTCATACTACCCACCAGTGTATGACACGGTAGCCGAAAAACGTGACCTGAGTTACGTTGGCACTCTAGTCAGGTTGGATGGACACCTCGACGACTTACCACGAGCGATATGATCCCAATAATCACGATACCGAGGGTATCGTCCAGGCGATCGGAAACACTCGCCAGTATTTGACCGCCTATGATACAGTTGACAATTAAGAAACCTTCCATGGAGAAGACGTTGAATGCGCTCGGGATGGTAGAGCCATAGTACCTGAACGGCCGCAGTTAATCGCGTGAGGGTAGATTATGCGAGTCGACGTGCGTACCCCCATGAATAGCGTGCCACGACCATTGACCTCATCCCGAGCTTAGGACCGAAGATGGCACTACTCCCGGATGGCAGAGTTAGCCTCTACGAGTGAGTCACAGACGGCGACCAACGTACAAGTACGCTGGGATGGCGCAAGTGCTAGTACGGGTGCCATGGTCAGTCCAATAATAATACGTGACGTGCAAATCTCACCACATACATCAGGTCAACGACTAGAAGGACCAGGAGCGAGTCCCGAAGGCCGAGTCCAAAGAAGGCAGGACCAGCAGATCCAGTACCGACCCTGTTCACGAACGACTCGACTCGATAGACCTGAAGCAAGACCGAGATCACGTACGACAGAACATTGAAGTTCGCAGAAAACCACACGAAGAACATCTGGTACAGCTTCATGTCTGTCCTGTCCTCCGGCAGGATGGGCTCTATTCTATCAGAGTGGCTGTGGTAAGTATCCAGCGCAAACAGAATACAACGATGAAAAAGGGTACCCCTTTGTCTCTACTCCTCGATGTGCCAAGAAGTCGGTAGCTGTCTTGAACCAGCTTCGGGGGGCGGCGGTCTCACTGACACTGACGTACTCATCGACGACCTTGTCTGCCTTCTCATCCTCGACGGACGTGCCCATGGTGTAGTCGTGGTTGCAAGGAAGGTGTGTAGACTGATGGCGCTTTAATAGCTGGTTGTAGCTAGATTGAAGGTTTGGAGCTCAGGCGACTGCGTGAGAATCGAGACCTTGTGAGACCGTTTTCAGAGGCTTGCCAGCATGCATTGAGCGCGTCGATAGTGCGAGCAATGGTGGAGGCGAGGAGGAAACAATATCCGCCTTGCCGATGCTGTGTACTTGGAAAGGCCAACTTGCGGGTGTCTCGATTCGTCTTGGGGCATGCATCTGTAGGTAGGGCGAATGTCTCGTCATGGAGTACTGGAGACGAGAGACCACCTGAGTACGCGCGCTGACAGGGATTGTCGTATGACCAACCCACGACGGCGATTGAGGGCTCCATGGAGAGCTTCTTCGTCGAAAGGATGTTTACCTGCCGCTTCAGGACATGTGAGTCCGACGAACGCAAAAGACAGCCCCTGGCCTTGAAGCTTGAAGGTTTTCAATGGCATGCCCCAAGAACCAAACCGCGTCTCCTAAATCAATGTGCAGTCAGTCTCACCAGACAGTAACTCGGCCACATACCAGCACACCGACCAATACCTGCCAAGCTCTGTCAGTCAGTCGTAACCTCAACCTCGAGCCTGTCTATAAGGAAGCATTGCGATGTATATACACACGATGTATGTGTTATGCGACTCGAGATGATTAAAATGCCTCCGATCCGGTTCGTACAAACCGACCGCAAGTCCGTGTGCGAAAAGCAACGAAAGGGAGGCTACCCATGGTATAAGCTATCGTACAAGCAGCAGCCAAGAAAGTGTTCAATGGGGACTGAAGACAAAACATAGATGTGTCGTGATATAGATCGTGTCGGTCATGCCTGCACGGCTTCCTCGGCGAGTTCAGCCCGCTCGCCCTGGGGTGTCGGCGCGGTATCCTCCAGCATGCAGTCGGTATCCTCGGCGAGCTCCTCCTCTATGGCCTTACGGCCCTCCTCAGTGAGCTTGGGTATGCCGGTCGAGATATCGGGCTCGAAGTATCTCGGACCAAACCTAACGCAGAATTAGAAAGTGCGTTGAGAATAGCATCGGAAATGCACGTACTGAATACCCTTCCGCTTCCTCTCCGCGGCATCGTCTCGCTGCTTCTGCTCGATTGCGAGCTTGTGCTTAGTCGCCTCGCTATATTCCTTCGTCAACAATCTGCTCGTGACGTTCTCCCACAGCTTCCTGCTCTCGTTGGGGTGCTGCTTCTCCAATGGCCGCACATTCTTCGGGATGACATGCAGCGTGGAGATATCGAGGAGCGTCGCGTACTCGCTGTCAGACGCATCGACGCGTTTCCAGCGAATCCGACCGCGCCACGACCCATCGAAGACGGCCAGCACACGATCCCTAGGGACGTGCTTAACGCGCGTCCACTCCTCGTGCGACGTATCCGTCGGGTCGTACTCGTGAATGACTCCCTCTAACAGGAAGTGCGCCTTGCCTAGCCACGACTCCTCCTTGTACTCGATAACCGCCCGAAGCTTCTTGCCGTCCTTGCCGCCCGAGCAAGTGATGATGGTTGAGTCGCCGACTGTGACGTAGAATGAACCGCGCAGCAATCCATTGACGGAGGCCACAGGGTGCGTGATGTGGTATAGCTCCCCAGCGCCGTCGCCGCCCGTTATGCGGACGAAGATGCCCTTGTTGAACGAACCAGGCATCACCCGCAGGGTCGTGCCGGAGACCTTGGCAGATATCTGGTCGATGCCGGTGAGCTCGAGGTGACGGCTGGGGCACACAGCATGGTATGCCGAGACAGGGGGGTGGTGAGAGACTTGTTCCGTGACATAGACAATCCGGATGCGCGGTTTATCCGCAGCAGCCTCGTCGCCCTCCAGGAGGTCAGCGGCACCCGAGGCCTGGTCGTTTGCGAGGCTAAGGTCCGACATGCCCGCCTCGAGGTTGGTCTCGACCAACTGGGGAGAGGTAGTCGGAGTAGTCTTGGCGGTGGTCGACTGGCCACGAGACAGGAAGCTAAGCCCGCTGAACCCGCTCTTCGCGCTGCGGCCGCTCTTGACGCTGGCGCTCGAGGAAAGCGACGGGTGTATCACGTCCGGCGCAGACATGGCTGCGGAGGAAAAGAAGTATGACGACGAAGGCGCAGGTTCAGGGGCGGGAGGAGACACGTAGAGGTACTGAATGGGAGGCTCATTGGGATCTGAAGGATAGTCGACGGGAATAACGTCCCAGTGCGAACGGAAGTGCTCGCCGAGCACCGAGTTGTATGGCTTGCACACCTTGCCTCGCTGCAAGCCAATTCAGGAATCGAACATGAATGCATATAGGGACATAGACTCACGATAAACTTGAGGTCCTTGGAGAACGTGAACCTGAGCACGGCCAGCATACGCTCGAAGGGATCGTCCGAATCATTGATACTGGGCGCATGTCATCGCCTCACGAACGCACACACACAGACAATCAGGCACGACTCACGCTGCGAAGAGGTCCGGACGGTCAAGATAGTGCCAGTACTCGAGGTTCGGGATTGGTTCGAGCAACGATGCGGGCAGGGACAGTCGCCTATTGCGCCGTTGGGTGAGGAGAGACGTGCACCATGGAGTTAAGACGTACATGGCAGCAATATCCTTGACTCCCAGACACTTCTTAACAAGCTGAACGATCATCTTGAGCTTTCCGCTCTCTCCTGTGTCTCCAGAATCGGGAACAGAGATGGGCTGGCCAGGGGCCTCCTCGTCGAGGGGGTTCAGGTCGTTCTTGTCCTGCGAGGCCATCGCGTATATTGGGGAATCAAGGGGGAACGAAGAGAGCAGGGAAGACAACGACGTTGTCACTGACGACGTCGAGTTGAAGAGAAAGAGAGATGATGAACGTGCGCCTGTCGACACTAACTGCTTGGATGCTTAACGAGGCTTTACGCGAAGCCGCCTGATTGCCTCCAAAACAATGAAAAAAGCTGATTCGACCCGGGTTCGAACCGGAGACCTCCTGTGCGCACAACCCTGTACCCCAAGTGTGAGACAGACGTGATAACCAACTACACCATCGAACCGACAGAAGATTGAAAGCACGTTGGTTCATGTCTATGTTTTTGTTGCGCTGTTGCAAGCAAAGTCGTGGAATCGTCAGTCAATGACAATCGGTTCGCCACTTGACCGCAAGTGACTTCATCATGGGTTTCAACATAGCGTGAGCATACCTCAGTTGATCCTATCCGTATGTTGATGTTTGTGTAGGATGATATGTGACTTCTTTCATCCCAACGTTGGGGGGGTTGAGAGTCACATCTACATGCTCAGCGCAAATCTGCTCAAGCGCGGTCATAAGGTATGTCCAGTAGAAGCACCATCCAGGTGGGATTCGCGCTGAATGATGTCAGGTTATAGTTATTACTCACAGCCATCCACCGGATCGTGTGGGCATACGATGGCTCTTGCCATCGCTCAAGGTCTATTATCTGCCGTACCCTACCATTGCATCATCAGCAACACTACCGAATTACTTCGCTTTCCTCCCGTACCTCCGTACCATCATCCTGCGCGAAGGCATACAGCTCATACACGGTCATGCTGGTCTCTCGTCACTGGCGCATGAAGGCATATTGCATGCCCATCTCATGGGCGTGCGGACTGTGTTCACGGACCATAGTCTGTTCGGCTTCGACGACGCAGCAAGTATCCTAACCAACAAGCTGCTAGAAGCAGCTCTGCGTAATGTAGACGCCGCTATCTGTGTTTCTCATACGGGGTATGTGGTTGGCTAGCCTCCCCGAGTGATGATACTAACCAGACGTTAGTCGCGAGAATACTGTACTGCGAGCGAGGATACTCCCCGACATCGTTCACGTCATTCCGAACGCACTCGTCGCCGAACAGTTCAGGCCAGCGCCATCGCCGCCTTCTGGAGATACGAGTAAGACATCATCAATCCCTCATGGCATCATGGAAGTGCTGACTTCGCCAAGTTACTGTGGTGGTCGTATCCAGACTCGCATATAGGAAGGGCATCGATCTTCTTATAGCCACGGCGCCGCGTATATGTTCACTGTTCCCCAACGTTCGCTTTCTCATTGGTAAGGATGTCTCATGGCGCCCAAATTGAGATGCTCATGTGGTTCTGTGATCAGGCGGAGACGGTCCCAAGATGATAGACCTTCTCCAGATGCGAGAGAAGGATCTGCTACAAGACCGCATAGAGATTCTTGGACCTGTTCGTCACAGTGACGTCCGCGACGTGAGTGCATAGGCTAGTTTCCTGACATCACGAGAGTGACGCTTGTCTTCAGGTACTCGTCCAAGGATCCATCTTCTTGAACACCTCCCTTACCGAATCCTTTGGCATCGCCATACTTGAAGCTGCATGTGCCGGGCTTTACCCCGTGTCTACCAGGGTTGGCGGCGTTCCCGAGATCCTTCCAGAGCACATGATCTCTTTCGCTAATCCAGATGAAGACGGTAGGTCCTCATTCGAAATTGTGCAGTTCATTAAATCGTTCCTGAATCTTCAATACATGTCAGATATCGTGCGCGCAATGTCTGAGGCAATACAACTTGTATCCGCTGGCAAGCACGATCCACATAAGGCTCATGAGCGCATCAAAGATTTCTACGGCTGGCGTGAAATCTCGCAGCGGACAGAACTAGTCTATGAGTCGGTCATGAAGTCGCCCCCGTACGATTTCTGGACACGCATGCATAGGTCCGTCATTTCGATTCTAATTGATCATAAACTTACTAACACATCTGCAGAACACTGGATGTGGGTCCTGTAGCTGGCATCATCTTCGCGATCATCCTGGTCGTCGACTGCTTGTTCTTCATGTTTCTCGAGTGGTGGCTGCCCGAGGATCAGCTTGACAAGGTTCAAATGCACTGGACTCCTGAGCGATTTCAAGAGGTGACAGAGACTCGCTGCACGACCGCCCGTCCTCGCTGATCAGTTTCGGTCTCCCAGGTTGCGGACGAGCGCAAGAGTGCAGAGAACTTGTAGCGTCAACATCGCTTCACGCCACGGTGCACTGCAGCTACACCTCTGGCTACACGCCCCGAATCTCACCAACAGAAAGCTCACTTTTTCAGACCATATCATTTGCATATCTACGGGCCGTGCATTGCAGCGCCTCGCTTGCTGATCTTCTTCGTTCAGAACCAGAACTGATGTTCTTCTCCTGAGCGGACTGCTGCGCCAGTGCAACCTCTCCCACGTGCACGTCGCCGCCGCCATAAGCCCATCGCATTGCATCGTTGGGAGCATCCCGACGACAGATCATGAATCCCGGCATCGTGATTCTGCTAGGAACACAGCATGGGAAGGAACCTGTTGTTAATCGATGCTGCGGTGACCTGATGTGATGCTCGTGGGAGGTGAGCGCTGGTCTCTGTAGAGTACATACCTTACTTCTGGCTTGAGCTCGGTTCATGGTCCATAGGTTGTATATTTAGATTATGGAGCATCGTGCACTCTTTGTGCACAACATTCCGCCCCCCTTACAGACCCGAAAGCGACGTCACGTCAAGTTCGCTCGTTGCCGTGTACATCAAGCTCAATGTCCTCATCGCCGTTCCCTATCGCTTCCTCCAAGGTAAGTCCCCGAGTACCATTCTTTCCTTTCCCTTTCCAAATCCATTTATTGTCCCGTTAGGGCCGAGCCCCATGTCGGACACAATACAAACAGTACAGACTACGTAGTGCAAATGACAGAGTAATCTAGAGGGAACAGTGACCCTCAGACGTCCGGAGACGCACCGAGGGGAGGAGTACCATTCTTCAACATTGACACTTCAGTATTGTGTCAGATTGCTGGATTGTTCGTAGAGAGCACCTGCTATGGTGCGTCCTGGTCGTCGTCCATTCATACCCTGGCTCACTATATTGAATGCAGGGATGCTCTTGATCACTGTCGCCTACGGCTTGCGCGTCCTTCTCTGGTCCTGCAACGGGCAGTTCAAGGGTAGGGCATCCATCAGTTGGGTCATGGTCGGGGCAACCCTTGCCATGTTCGTTATCTCGACAATAGAGATGGCTCTCAAAATACGCAACGATCTCGACGCGTTCGTCGATTACAAAGGTCTCGGTGGTGCCACGGGCGCATTTCTCGATGTATCAGACTGGATTCAAGTTGCGAGAACCGCTGGCTACAATCTACAAACCTCCATCGGTGACGGCATTATGGTTTGTATAACGCTTTAATTCTATGCATGACTCTAATCTCTGGGCACTCCTAGGTCTACAGATGCTACGTTGTCTATGACAGGAATTGGAGGATCATAGTTGTACCGGTACTTCTCTGGCTTGTCACAACAGGTCTGCGACTCGTGCTCTCCGGGAACTCCTCATGCTGACATCCCCACCCCATCACTAGCATGTGGTTGGATGGCCCTCTATATGGAGGCGACGTTCGGTACTGCTGAGCGTCTCGTGCCGTTCGTTACCCCCTTTCTAGCTCTCACCCTTGCATTGACAACTATGACGACAGGTACGAGACTCATCATATATACTGACGAGCGATGGCAAGGGAGTTGATCATGCGCTACAATCCATATAGGCATGGTTGTGTATCGCATCCTGGACATCAATGCCGATCTCGTTTCGCACAATGTCTCGCGTGTTGGCGGAGGCCCCAAGTTGACTCGTATCGTCCGCATCCTCATCGAGTGCGGGGCTCTCTACACGATCTCCGTTGTTATTCTGCTGTGCACATTCCTAGGGTCCAAGAATGCTCTATCCGATGTTTGGGTGCGGCCTTTCTGTCCCATTACCCAATGCATTATTGCTGATACTGTGCTCTCATAGGTGGTCCAGCTTATTGTGAGCTATCATGACTTTGAGGACCGCCACCCATCCCAACCGCTAACCTATGCCATTTCCCCGTCAGCCGATCTCCATGATCCTCATCATTATCCGCGTAGACCAATGCAAAGCCGCCGGTACTTCCACCTTCCAGATATCAGCCATCGAGCGACCGATGACCTTCATCGTCGAGTCCGGAATGCCTGGCAGCGACGCGTCCCGGGGCATTACCGTCTCCATGTCTGATTTCCATGGCAGTCAGACTGATACGTCGAATCATGATGTGTCCTTTGTGTAGTAAACCGTCAGGGTCCATTGGATTTACTCCCAATCTTCATACTAGAGCACATCCTCTGCGCGCCCAGTACCAGCGTGTTGATAACGAGCGAACTTGAACCCCCTCTTTCTACATAACGACATCCGCTAGTACATGACCTAAAATGCAGGAGTCTACTGCATGCTTTGCAGCCACTCTCGCTGCTCATACAGCAGCTCGACGTAATCCGCCACACCCTCCAGCGCAAACCGATAGAATACGTACAGCTTCTGGTGGGGCAGCATTGGCAGCATTTTTTGCCTATTCCATATAATCCAGAAATCACCTTCTAACGTATCAATGGTCGAGGACCACTTCCGGAACAACGGCGACATCCCCCTCAGCAACGGCGCGTAGTCGTTGACCTCTGTGACACGTTGTGATACGGCGGCAAGCACATCAGCGCGTGAGCCACCGTCCTCACCGGAGAGCTGGTCACGCCACCGCTGCACATGCTGCGCCTTAGGTGCGGTGCTCTCCAGCGCCAGACGGTTAAAGACGGTGGCCCATAACGCTGTCCACACGAAGGAGTTGAGGTCGTCGATCGGGTTCTGGACGTATTCCTTGTCGTTCATCTCCAAGGCTGCCCTCAACGAGCGCGACATGAACTCGGGTGTTCCCTGTACGTATCGCGATGAACGTCCAATGGTATATCTGCAAATTGTCATGAACTTACGGAGATGGCACCTGCGTGTTCGGAACTGGAGAAGTACGTCTTCAACTCAGCGGCCATGTCGCCGTCGATGAGCAGAGCCTTGCACTCCGTCGACACCCCAAGCTTCGCGAGCGCCTTTTCGAGCCGCTCTGCAGCGATGACAACCTGCTCCAGATATTCGTCTTGCGCGACTGCGCCGCGAAGCTTCATCCAGAAGTGGTCTTCGCTTGATGCCAATGCGCCATGGCCGCCCCGCTCCAACTGCATGTTAGCTATGCCTTGGGTGATCATC